AGTCGGAACCACTGTAGTGGTTTGTACGACAGGACTGGGTGTAAATGAATACGCTCAAGTGCTACGATCACGTGAAGAGTCACCTACGAGTTGGAACCACCTATAGTGGTCTATACGACAGGCCTGTGCACTTACCTTGAATTCAAGGTAAGCGTATGGTGCGGGAGGTGAACATTACGTGAAGGATTATGCCTTGGCCACGGGCAGGAGCACTAAGACCGGGTTGCAGGTTTAAGACCTTTAAATGCATTTAATACCACATGTACGACTCATAAGCAACCTGTCCGATAATGCTGGAGTTTCCTACTATTGCAACCTGTACGACCGTGTCGGAGTTACTTAAAACATAAATGTAGTCATACCATAACCCCATCAGTTCAACTAATACCGTATACTTATTTGAACTTACCTAAACTTACCTGACTTACCTGAACTTACCTGTGTGTCCTGCGTTCACCTTTGCACTTCAGAGCGTTCACAATAATTCTGTGCAAGGAATATACGTATGGATATGCCATGATGAAATCTAAACTTAAAACATATATAAACATATAAATAAATGGTCTAGAATGCATAAACTGTAATGCCCCATTCCCAACTATTTACTTTTGAGAGTAATCATCGATGATAAGCCTAATTAAGCACTAGTTAAATTAACTATCAATTAATTCCCTTTCCTTACTTCAATTTCTTGATTATTCACGCAATGATTTATGATCGACATTTAACCACTAAAACATAGGGTCAAATCTTATAATCTTTCCACCAATGTCCCTCAAACTACTCAATTTCCCAAACTAGACTATTGTCTCGATTATATGTTCTCATTTATTATATGACTGCATCTAACGTCTCGTTCGATTGCCTACGTACCCTAAACAGGGATCAAGCCATTTGTAGTTCACACAGTGCCTCAAGGTATTGATAATAATTACAAGTGGGTAATATGTATAAATCAACCTAATAACGTCTGTGGAATTATCAATCATATGTGTGTGTGTATATATATACATACAATAGAAAGAAAAAGATCCACTCACCTAGAGTCCGTGCAACAACTTCCTAGCACAACCATCGAGGCGTCCCGAGCGATCGGCACCTGCGGCCAATGATCAACCACATCTCAGAATCCTTATCAACAGATCATGTAATACATGTAAAACCATCCCTAAAGACGTTTTAGAGTGATTTAAGCCCCAATGGCCACAAGTTGATCGTCGGTCAACGATCGACGGTAGGGTCTACAACCCTACATAATTCAATCTAGAAGATCTGCTCCTTGGATTTCCCATCAGTAACTTCCAAGGATCCACATTATGCTTCTAAAACATCATACTAAAATTTCATTACGATCCAGCGGTCAGATCTCCGCCAATTGCCCAAAACCAAGTGGCGATTAACATTTATTTTATAAACTTACAAATCCAATTCGGGAATATCTGTAAGTTCATATGGTTCTCAAATATTACGCACTATAACATACTAAAGTTTGGTGACGATCCAACGGTAAGATCGTCGATTCACATTTTATCAAATGACGTATCATAATGAATTTAGGTCCAAACGATCAATCTACATTATACGAATAACAAAAATGAACCCAAGACACCTAATTTAGCCTAAAAGTGGCATCGACGGTTCCCTGGCCACGTGCCGCCGCACCAGCCACCACGGGTGGCGGTCGGCCACCCTGACTCGCCGAAAAATTCAACTATTTCTAAAAATTCTAAAAGATTACAGAAATGAAGATTTCAAAGAGTAGAGTAAACTTTATACTTGCGGCCAAGGCCAATTTGGCCGGGAAGAGCTCTAATTTTGCTCAAACCCGCCGGAACCCTAGATTTTGGGTGTGTTCGATTCGACCTCCAAACTTGTTCCAACGCCTCCATCACTACCTGGGCTTTGTTCCTGGGTTCTAGGGGAGTGTGTTGGTGTGGAAATTGAAGGAAAACGTTTCACAAATGGGTGGATTTCAAGTAACCTTCCCGCGACACCCATGGTGGTTTTTCCACCAAACTTCAACCAAATCCCTTCTAATTTTTGGGTGGACATGGAAGAGGGGAGGTCTAGGGATAATTTCCAGGTGAAGAATGAGTGACTTTTGTCTGAAAAATGGTGGGATTTAGCCGGAATTGGAACCGGGTTGAAACGGGTTGTGTTTTGGGCGCACGGGTCGACTGGTTGGTTGCTCCACACCTCCCTCCTTTCCCTTCTGGTTCTTCTCTCCCATTTGTCACTCTCACTCTCCTCATTTCCTGATTGGGCAGTGCCTATCTCTTCCTCTCCCTCTCCACATCGCTGCCATCAAGCAGCTTTCCTCTTTTTCCTTTCTTCTTTTTTATTTTTCCCTAATTTTTCTAACTCCTCAATTAGTAAAAATAACAATAACCCTAATAATTGAATAGAATAATGAATAACGACCTTTAAGAATTTATAAAATCGTAAAATTTGGGATGGGTTGTCACACCCCAAACTTGAGGTATGAAAGTGTAATTTACCCAAAAATTATTTATGTTAACCCTTTGATATAAGGGCAAATAGATGATATAAATTCCTCCACATATATGACTATCATTTTTCTCAACAAAAGAAATCCTCAGTTGATGTAATGCTTGAAACAACAAAAAAATATCATAAAAAGTATATGAAGATGGGTTTCTGAAAGTAGCGTAGTTAAAGTGTTTTTTGCTGCAAAAAAATTGAGGTAGAAGATTGGATGTTTGATCCAAGACCTTTATTAAACTCGTTGATTTGTACATACAACTTTTTTTTTTTGGTAAACTAGGAAATCTATTCCGGGGCAAAGATGCCAGAACGAACAAAGAGAACCTACAACGAAGCAAGCACGAAGCTAAACAAGCAATAAACCAAAATAGTGCAGGGGGTTACATCAAAGAGGATGCTGCAACAATGCAAAAGCGTCACCCCCTATACTGCCGATACAAAAAACTTAATGAGGACAAGGTAAAACATTGTTGTTCAGAACCTGCATCAACGAATATGGGGTCGATTGACCCAAATAACATTGCAAATGCAACGTTTTGATTGTTTGGCAGGTACTAGAGAAAAGGTGGTGCTGATGATTTAACGAGTGAAATTCAAAGGAATTTTAGGTTATTCAATGGAATTCAAAAGGAATTCTCTGTTGATGACATGCTTGAAATAGCAATAGAATATCATTGAAAATCCCGTTATTAGTTTTCAAAAAATCATAAATTGAGGTAATTTTTGTTGCAAAAAGTCAGGTAGAAATAAGTTTTTTGTTGCAAAACCTTCAATCTGTTGAGTCATATGACAAATACTAACAAAAAGACAGTACTGGTAATTAATAAAGTGAACCAAGTTTTCTAGAACGATGTTAGCGACCTTTGCATTGGGTTAGAAAGATAAAACTTTTTAGGTCATTTCTTGACAAAGTTAGAGAATATTTTATTCAACGAGTGGAATTAAAAAAAGATGATGGCATATGCTTGAAACTTTGAAAGGGCATATATTGAAGTATAGGTTTGCTTGAAAATGTCCGGGTAGATGATTAAATAAAGGAATCATCTACGAACAGTATATAATATGGTGCCGCGTGCTGCGTGCATTGCAAAATCGTCAACGTCCACAACACTTCAAAAACCAATCGTTTTTCTCTCCGGAGTGAGAGTATTTCCTCCAAGGTGAGTGGGTTTCTATCCGGTGTGAGAAATCTCTAATATACTTTTTGCTGTTTTAGAACAAGATTCAAACTTCGTTTCCAGTTTAGTTACAATCAATTCAGTTTGGTCTTCCTAGTTTTATCAGCTCTGAAAGTCTTACACTCTGGCAAATTCAGTCTGGTCTACACTATTTCTTTCTTTTTACTGTTCTCAGCATTGAAGGCTGAAGTAATGGCCTGCAATTACTTTGAGGAGAAGGATTGTCTACACTCCTACTTTTCATATCCTTTTATGCTTTCTTGTTTATATGGTCACAGTTAAGACACGTCAATATTTTATATTACTATTTATTTTTGTCTTATTATCTTTATAAAAAAATATATAAAATGTTAACATGATTTAACTATGACCACACAAAACAGAAGGACATGAAAGAACACGAAAAATAGAAGAGCAGACAATCCTTGTTCTTACTTTCAACCATCAAAGATACCCTGTTCAAACCAACCAAATCTCAATAACATCTCACAGGGAGAATATCTAAAAATACACTCTTCAGCTTTCTTTTTTCTCAATTTTGTTGCAATATCCTTTATCTTGTTCACTGTTCCCGTGAGAGTAAGCCCTAGTTTGGTATTGAGTTGATTATAAAAAAATTGGTATAAAAAAAAGCTTGGAGCGGTTTTTGTGTTTGGTAAACATTTAGCTTCAGCTTTTTTTTTCATAGTTTTAGGTGAAAAAAAAAAAACAAGAAGCTGCAAAACCTAGTTTTGAAAAACCAATTTTTTTTCACATTTGTTTTACATAAAAGTTTACCAAATATTATAATATTACTTTTTTTTTCAAAAGCACTTTTACAAAAAAATTTACCAAACGCTCTGCTGTTTTATTTCACAGTTACTTATTCTCACGTTACAGCAGAAACAGCTTTTTTCAAAACAAAGCAATGCCAAACCAGCACAGTCATTGGGAGTTGTGTAAGAAATTTCGGAAAGTGTCTCGAAGTTCATAAAAAATACAGACGTATCGGTTTACAGGCAGAACAGAAGTGTATTGGTTAAATTCTCTCTTTCCGATGGCTCAGACGGAAGTGTAGGACCTGGTGGTGCATCTGGAGGAATCATTGGAGTTATCCAATATGGAACAAGGAGTGAAACTTATTGGTGCTGTTATGGTGGACAAAACTATCAATAGATGGGGTGTTAGAAATGTGCTGAGATCCTGAGATCTGATTGGAAAGAGTTCGGAGAGATCCTAATAACATGGGTAAAAGATAATACCTTTATTATTACTGTCAGAGATGAGGAGATTGTTGCAAGAATCTTAAACCAAGTCCCATGAAAATTTTCAGTGAAAATGTGGGCACAGCTAGCTTTGGAGGAAATTCAACTTCATTTGGTCCCATTCTGGGTCCAAATCAGGGGTGTACCCTTGTATCTGACCACAGAAGAAAATGCAAGAAGGCTGGCAAGGGCGATTGGTGAACTAATGGAGGTGGAAAATCTATCAATTGCTAGGGGATTTATGCGAGTTAGAGTTATGGTGAATACTAGAAATCCTTTGATTCCAGGTTGTTGGCTACCTCAGTCTAATGACAGAGATACATGGGTCGAATTTCAATATGAAAAACTTCAAGATTTTTGTTATAATTGTGGTAGGATTAGGCATGTAAATTCTGAATGTGCTTTCAGACCAAATGGAAGTGGAGCTGCAGGATATGGGGAATGGATGAAGACTGCGGCGGTTCGAGATATACAGGAAATCAGTAGACCAGTGGTGAGCTTTCAAGGAGAGAGAAGACTTGCAGGGACAAATAGGGAGGCCAGAAGGGGAGAACAGGAGAGGCGAGTGGATGGTACGCACGGACATGAAAGTGGTTCACGTGGCAGGCACAATGGGGGACACGTAAGGGAACATAACAATCAATTAGCAGTGAGAACGAGGAATGTGTTATGTTTGCTCATATGTATATAGTAAATGTTCATAAGTTAAATAGTGAACTTTTTGTTTGCTTTCATAATGTTTACTCTATAAATAGAGCATTACAAGAACATAAGAAGGGAGAGACTCACGGAAGAGGAAAAAAAAAAAGGAGGAAGAGGAAGAGAGAAAAGAGAGGAAGAGAAGATGAGAGAATAGAGAGAAAGTTATCTTTGTACTTCTATTATTTCAAATTATAATGTAAAACATTACTGCTGCTCCGAGGACGTACTCCAGTCACACTGACTGTAGAGGAACCTTGTAAATTTTGTGTCTTGTTTATTTATTCCACTGCACATCGTCAATTTTACAACACGTTATCAGCACGAGAAGCTCTCATGTCAGTGGAAAGCACAGCGTCACTAAATCCTGTTCACCTCCTTCAGCTTGAATCTCACATATAAGAAAATTTTTTCATTTCATCTTCAAATCTCAGTACAATTGATTTTCTTGAAACAAATATATATATTGTTATATGACTGTATATCATCATTTGCAGAAGCAAAATAGTACAGACTCAAAAATTCATAGAGAATATGACAGCCATGTAAATAGCCTCGGAACTCTAACTTGTAGACCTCGGATTGAAATACTTTCTTCTTCAAAGTTGTTTGTCCGCCTAGTACCTACAACATATCATATTTTCAGAAAATTCCAACGGTGTGATCATCACAGATGCCTGAAATACCAAACCACTTTCCAATTTTTGTAGAAAACTGGACAGCCACCTTTTGAGTACCACAACTCCATTTCTGTAGCTCAAATCAAAATTGTTTCTTCACGAAAGTTGTTTGGTATTCTCTTATCCATATCATACTAAAATTTGAACTAAATCTAACAGTTTGATCTTCCCATAAGTTGCAGACACTCTTGACTCCAAAACTTATGGGAACCGTTTCGACTTTTTCGAAACTCAACGGAGGATGAACACCAATTGGAACTTATTGTTACTATTATTTACTGAGTAACCAAAATGACTTCAGAATTGTGAAATAAAAATAAAAATAAAAGGAATCAAACAAAAGAAGTGGCAGACCAAGAAAAAGAAAAAGTAAAAGATGAGAACTTAATCATTGCATTTTCTGTTTTGACATATTTATGTGAATGGTGTTAGATTAAAGCCCATGTCACAAGTTCTATGTATTTAAAGCAATTTATTTACAGTGAGTAGAATTATTACCCTTTGCTTTAAAGTTTTGATATTTATGAGAATGGTGCTGAATCAAAGCCCTTGTCACAAGTTTTATTTACTTTAAAGCAATTTATTTACCATGAACAGTTTTACCGCTTACTGCTTTAAGTTTTGATTTATGTGAATGGTGCTTAATTAAAGCCCTTGTCACAAGCTTTATTTACTTAAATGCAATTTGTTCATTATGGCTGGAATTACCGTCTATTGCTTTAATTTATTTATTGTACTTATCTTTTGTTACGATGAGTATATACAGGACCTGAAGTTCTTTGATCAGATAAGAACCTGCAGTTTCTTGATCCTCAACATATAAAAATGATTGGACCTGAAGTTCCATCATGCAAAAAGATCGGGCATGAAGTCCCTTTATCCTTAAGATCAGGACATGAAGTTCCTTGATGAGTACTGTAAGTTTGAAGTGTCACAGTGCCTCAACTTAATTGTAATAAAGGACATAAGAGTCTCAGTCTACAGACTATTAAATAAAGACCAAAAGTTCCTCATGTCCATACGCACAATGGTTTAACAGAAGTATTTATTAAGCAAATGAAATTGATTACCCGCGCTCTACTCATGAAAACGAAATTGCCAGTTTTCTACATGGGGACATGTAAACTTTACATGATGCATTATTAATTCGGTTGAGACATGTTACCAACCATCAATATTTCTCAATACAACTCGTCTTTAGGCACCAGCCAAACATTATACATTTACGAGTTTTTGGTTGTGTTATCTATGTGCCTATTGCATTGCCACAACGTCCTGAAATGAGGCATATTCGCGGATTAGGCATTGATGTTGAACACCATCTATCATTCAATATTGAAAACCCTTGACTGATGATATGTTTACCGCATGGTTTGCGGACTGTCATTTTGATAAGACAATTTTCCCACCGTTAGGGGGAGAAAATATTGTTCCAGAAGAACGATGAGAAAATATCATTCTAAAAGAATGATAAGAAAATACTGTTCCAGAATAACGAAGAGAATTTGTCTTATTTTGATTCATGAAGCAATCAATAAGAAAATGACATAGGAATAATTGAAGGATGCAACGAAAGTGATGAAATCATATATACTTGCTGCAAATGTGCCTACAAGAATTGATGTCCTTGTTGGACAAAATAATATGGCAGCAAATGATTTATCTGTTGCACGCCTGAAGCATGGCAGACCTTCAGAAAAAGGTTCATTCATTTGAAAAAAGAAGAATATGGCACTATTAAACTATTGCATTCCTGAAGCATAACTGTTGCATACCAAAAGCATGACAATCGCCGCATGAATATACGTCCTAAAAAGGACAATCCGCGGACATGGGAATATTGATGTCTCATGCATGAAGCATGATAGACGTATAGGTTCAAATGACTCAACTCCCAGAAGTGGAGATTAAAATCCAAGCTCTATAACGCTCAAGAAGAGGTTATGATCCACATTTTCTAAATTACGACTATCCTGGAAGAGACAGTGTAATGCCCTTGAAGACGCAATGGATATCCAAAGAAAATGAAAAGCTTTTATGCATGCGCATGCACATAAGAATATGGGATCACAGCTTGATGATAACCAATGGTAATGTTTGTTTTTATAAGTAGCTACTAAATTCATCAATGAGCTGTATTAATATTGAGTCACATTCTTTTGTTCGTCGACAAAAGGAAAATTTTTGGCCAAGTATACATGGGAGCAAATTGCTCTATATATATTCCAAAGGAAAATATGTCATGAAGTGTAGAAAATCCCTGAAGGATTCAAATTACTTGAAGTAAGCCCCCGAAGGGTAAAACATAAATTACGTACTCAATACCAATAAATGGTATAATTTGCCTTAGTGAGTACTATCATTATGATATTATTGCAACATACTAAAATCTCTTGCAAGAAGTTGATGATATTCAATTACAACTCTTGAAGAGTTGGTGATATTAAATTGAGACTCCTGAAGAGTCAAGAAAGATTATAAAGTGTTGAGAGAAATATTGTCTTGAACTGCAGATCGAACAATATGCCAACACGAATCTTATCCATGATGTTTATGATATTAAAGAACCATATGGATTGAAGATTATGAGTTAAATACTTAAATAATATCGACACTAAGAATGATCATTATCTTCGTATGGGTAAAGATAAATTGATATTTGGTCCAGAAGTACCACATCTTAGTGAAGTATATGCTTTATTGTATTTGGCACAATACATTGAATGAAATAAAGCTTATCTATTAATATCTCCGAGAAGGACAGATATGTGCATACACATGAGTTAAAACAAACAAACAGGATGAAGTCTTCACAAAGGTTGCTCATGTGAAGCCTCAGTACTCGACAGTACCCCAGAAGGGGGAAGCACTGGAGATTGATCATGTGGCACCCCAGTACTTGGCAAAACACCAGAAGGGGAAGGCATTAGTTGCCTTCGGAATCTAGCAACTAACCTCCGGTGATCATTTTGAATCAGACTTTCGGATTCCTGCAGCTGGTCAAGCTTTATTTTCATGCTCTTAGAGTAATTATTTGCAAGCACGTGTAACACTCTATTCTTGTGCTTGAGCCATCTGATCTTTTGTTTGAGACTTGCCACCTCAGCTATCAATGATTCAACTTGGCGAGTTTGAGCAAGTAGGCGTTGACCCATATTGAAAACAAAGCCAGCACACTGAACACTAAAAGCCAAGGAATCTTGAACGGCCGCTTCATTAGACCGTTTTGAAAGGATTCTGTTATCCTTTGGAGTGAGAAGATTCATAACTACCACAATAGCGGTTATGTTATTCTTCATCATAGAGTTCCCAACTGTAAGAGAACCATTAGAAGATAAGAAGGACGGGCGCCATATGTTATCCTGACGCTGCTCGTCTGTATTACTCCTAAGACTCAAATCTAAGTAAATGTTAGATGAGCAAGCCATTTTCAGAAATGATAAAGGAAAAAATGAGGTCGAATAAAATCTCATAAGTACAAGAAGGGGAAAATTTCTACAAGCAACAACTTTCTGAGCATACTTTTGAACACAATTGATGTCTCTATAAAAGAAGAGGCAACAGAGCCACTTGTTCAGAAATTGAAGTAGAGCCACTTGTTCAGAGATCGAAGCGGCACGGCTCTCGTATTTCAAAAGCCAGATTTTCTTGAATAAAGTTCGTTGACATTTTTTAGACACAAGCTCAGTTTTTTCTAATATCGCGTGCAACTTTGTCAAAGATCTCTGACAAAGTTGAAAACGCGTAAATCTTACTGTTCTAATTAAACCACAGTTGTTGACAGGAGTAAAAGCACAACACCACTACTTGCTATTGGGAAATCTCTATATATGTCAACCTTCGTTCTCCATAACAAGGCAAACCTGCAAGAATACCTAACTTTTCCTCATCTCCGAAAATGCATCTTCAACAAAGCATCTCGAAATACTCAGTTTTCTTCCTATCTGAGAATATCTCTTCAAAACAAGTCACACCAGAGCAAGATTATCTCATATCATCAGGGACGAGAGCAAGAGTATCTCATATCATGCAATCTCCTTGTCCTTTCCCTTGTCCTTGTTCTTACCTGCAAAGACAAGGATAAAAAAAGTAATATGTTGGAACCTTCACTCAAACTCCCAGTAAGGAACCGACTGCCTGGAACCTTTCATTGCTTACCTAACATTGCTCTCGAGTAGCCATCTTCAACAGTTGTTGGAGCTGGGTCTCTAGTCACCAAAAAGTGATGAACCATCCAAATGCAAGGGTTGCATTCCATTCCTGCATCAGGGGACAAATACTAGAAGAGAAGATGTCACACATGCAATGGGAACATATAAGGCAAGTGAAAATGATACATTGAAGCATGTGGAGACAAGCACAACAAAACACGTGCTGATTCATCCCCGACAAAGTCGAAGATCACTTGCCACGTGAAGCTCCTCATGGTCCAATTTCATTCAAGATCAAGCCTCGAAATCCTCGAAGAAATCACAAGTCCGATTCAAGATCAAGTGTCCACCCTTGAATTAAATTCCTCTCCAGATAAAAGGAGTAAATTCAGACCTTTGGAGGAAGTTTAGCAAAAGGCCCTCCAACCCAGTTCAAGAACAAGCCTGTAGAAAGTTAACAACATGTAAAGCACCTCTTTCGGCAACTCTACTCGCTAAGGGACTGAAGCATAATGATCAATGATTAGCCTAAAGAATTTGAAATCAGGGGGAGATACTTATCAGGGGGAGCATCCAAAAACAGATCAAGATTTTAACAAGTTAAATGATGTTGATATGTGGGCATCCACGGGGAGTGTTGTAAAACAATGGGTATGTTTGCCCACACGTATATAGTAAAGGTTCAGAAGTTAAATAGTGAACTTTTTGTTTGCTTTCATAATGTTTGCTATATAAATAGAGCATTACAAGAAGATAAGAAGGGAGAGACTCACGGAAGAGGAAAAAAAAAAGAAAAGAGAAAAGAGAGGAAGATGAGAGGAGAGAATAGAGAGAAAGTTATCTTTGTACTCCTATTATTCCAAATTATAATGGAAAGCATCACTGCTGCTCCGATGACGTACTCCAATCACACTGACTGTAGAGGAACCTCGTAAATTTTGTGTCTTGTTTATTTATTCCACTGCACACACCGTTAATTTTACAACAGAATGTTTTCTCCAGAGAATTCCACGAAATAATCAGAATTCAGAAGTGGTTGGTAGGGCCATAAGGATGTGCAATAGATAGGTGGAGGGTCGAGCAGTCAAAGATCTCAACAATAATTTATGAGGAGTGGGCCTTGGGTAGGACAAGAAATGCAAGTTCATGGGCTGCAACAACATCAAGCCCAATCAGGAGTAATAAGGATTGAGGAGATGATTAAGGCATGAACGATTATGAAAGGGCCAATCCAAGCCCAATGATTCAAGACAATTAGGGTAGCTTGGGAAATCAAATCCCTACATCTGAAGAAGGCAGAGATGCTGGGGACAGAAACTTTGAGCCTGTACCGATTTATAATAGTGGTAATATAACAAGTGTTGAGTCGCAGCAATCAAGGGAGGAAAATCACAGTATTTTTGCAAGAATGGATCTGAAGAGGGGAGCAAAGAGAATGAAAAAGTGCAGCTTTCAATCACCATAAAAGAAAGCTAAGAAAGGGGAAATTAGTTCATCACAAAGGAAAAGTGAAAGGGAGAGATTTATTAGACAAAGCCTGTGAGAAGAATGTTTGGAAGATGGAAAATATTTGTTCTCAGAGGAAAATTTGCAGAAGGTTCCTGTACAACAAGAGGGGGTACGAGCTTATCTTGATGTGGCAGCTAATGCAGAAGGAGTGGAGATACAAGTTAGAAGTGAAGGCGATGGTGGCTGGCTTCAAACAGCCACAATGTCGCCATGAGTTACTTATTATGGAACTGCTGTGGTCTTGGGTCGGACACGGCGGTCCGAGCGTTATATGGGCTTGTCAAAAAGTATAGACCCTCTGTGATTTTTCTATCAGAAACAAAGATGAGAAATCGCAGAATTGAAGGAATTCGTCAAAGAATGGGTTATAATTAAGGTTTCAATGTATCTCCGGAAGGGAAGTGCTGGAGGGTTAAGCCTTTGGTGGGACAACTCTATGGAGATTCAAGTAAGTTTTTCTTTAAAATGTGTTATTGATTTCAGTATAAAACGTATTGGAACTAGGGATGGGCAATGGTTATGGCGGGCGGGTAACCGTAATTATTTACCCATAATCCTTTATGTTCATATCCACATAACCGTTTACCCGTTGGGTAATTGCCTAAATGGTTATACCCATAACCATAACCATAACCATAACCATAACCATAACCATTATATACGGTTATCCATACCTATAACCTTGTACCCATTTAACCATAATCATTTACCCATTTAACCATAACCATAACCATTTATCCGTTTACCCGTTTTTTCGCCCTTTTATCATTTTTACCCATTTACCCTTTTTTCGCCCGTCTACATTATTTTTTTTAACAATTTGAAAATTACAAAAGAAAAATTTGTCATAATTTTCATTTTCTGACAATTAAACACCGTTATAAGTACATTTTAGCATACATTTCCCTATTTTAATCATTTAAGTCCTCATATAATTCCAATAATTGAAATAATAGTTCACGAAAGATATTTTTCTGCTACACCCAAGCAAGTCTTTAATTATAATCCATATGATTAAAAAGCAAAGCTTCTAAAAACAAAAAGTAGTCATTATCTTGAATACTAGATTTCAAAGCTCCAAAATATTCCGAAACTAAACACTTTCGAACACGTTCAATCACAAAGTATCATCGACTCATTGTCACCAAAAGAGGCCTACAAAAATAATGTATAATTGAATTAGTATGAATAAATTGAATGAGTATCACCAATAACTCCAAAATAAAAAACAAAAATAAAGATTAGTTTTTACCACATTCACATCAGTATCATCACCGAATGAAGAATCTTCAACATGAGTAGAGTTTGAATCTGGTTCAATAGTAAAAATTAAAATTAGGCTAAAATAGTAAATTTTTGAACATATACATAATTTATATGAAATTTTACAGTAAGTACCTCGCATCTGACCCCACAACCAGTCTCGAGAACACATGAGTGCTTCCACTGTGCTTGAATGAAGTCGGCTACGGTGTGGACTAATAATCCTACCACCAGTACTAAATGAAGACTCTGAAGCTACTGTAAATACAGGAATAGCCAAAATATCTCGAGCTATCTGATGCAAAATAGGATATTTAATCCCATTTGTCTTCCACCACGACAATATATCAAAATTTTGAGTCCTAGGCAAGACTTTCTCCCCCAAATATAGGTCTAAGTCAGATTGTTTATTACCGATGGTAGAATCCATAACAAACTGGTCATAAGATGTTAAAGGATCACCAACTCTGAAATCACATGACTGTGATGGAAAATCAGTCGAAGAAGAAGATTCAGAAGACCGAAGCCCAGGTTTATGCTTCAATTCATACTCTTTGACCAACTTAACAGCCAAGTCAAAGACTTTCTCAATTTCCGATGGAGCATTCTCTTTATAAATAAGAGAAAAATAATACTCGATCAATTTCATCTTGAACCTTGGATCCAGAATAGCTGCAATTGCCATAGCACCATGAATTTTATGCCAATACTTTTCAAACTTGATTGACATCTTTGTTTCCATTAACTTAACTTCAACATGGTCAGACTCAAGCCACTTACAGATTGCAATCCTAATCTGACACACATTTGGAAAATAAAGATTTGATGTGGGATACTTGATCCCAGAAAATAACTCAGTCACTTGGTGAAAGATCTCCAACTTTGCAGCAATCATGTTAGTCTTCGCCCAATCTTCTTCACTTGGAACATTTTTATAAGAAGGCTCACACTGCTTTAAACGAGGAAATACATCTTTATATACCAATGCAGTGGTAAGCATCACATACGTCGAGTTCCACCTAGTTTTACAATCAAGGACTAACTTCCTAGAGAACTTAATTTTCATTTGTTGAGCTATCTCAACAAATTTTTCCTCTCTTTTTGCTGTCCCAGACCAATATGCAACACTATTCCTAATAGTCTCAATATTATCCCTAATCACATCCAATCCATCCTTAACTATCAAATTAAGTATGTGAGCACAACAACGCATATGAAATAATTCTCTGTTTAACACAAGTGAAAGCTTGCAATATGTCACTATAACCTCAATCATGGCATCATTTGTAGAGCAATTATCTACTGTGAGAGCAGACAACTTACCATCAATATTCCACTCTGATAAGCAATCTATCATTATAGCAGAAAGTGTGTCGGCATTATGTGGGCATGGAACATATGCAAACCTGATATAAAACACCACTTAATTATTAGAAAAAAACAACCAATTCGAACACTTCTTTAAATTACAAAACATATTCCAGATTATGTAAAAAGGAAACAAAAAGTTTCCAAACTTAGTCAAAAGCATGAAAGCTAACGCAAGAAAGTGAATAACTCCACAGCCAACAAAACAAAACAACCAATCCGAACACTTCTTTAAATTACAAAGATATGGTATTAGTTCGATAAATTACCTTAGAATTCAACTTTGAAGCGTCCACGAAGCATCGATAAAATGAGAAGTGATAGCCATAAACCCTCTCTTCTGATTACTTGAAGTCCACATGTCAGTCGTTGTTGCAAGTGATTGCAATTTTACTCTTGTTCATTTGCAACAACTTCATGGTCTGTCCCTTTTCACATTCAAATACTTTCATAATATCCCTCTTGATAGTACTTCTAGAAATAACCTTAAATAAGGGTTGCAATGAACTGCAAAACCTCTTAAAACCCAAGTGGTTCACCATAGATAAAGGATACTCATGTAAGATAATCATATAAGCTAGCTCTTTCCTAGCATTACCTTCATCAAAACTATATGCACCATGTTTAACAGATCCATCACCAGTTATAACTGGACTCTTTTTCTTTTTCGTGAATACAGGACATGTTCTAAATGTGAAAGTAAAGATGAAATACCAACAGTAGAGCCCGATGCTAGCCTAGCTTTACAATGGTTGCAGACAGCTTTCACCTCCCCACAAAAAAAAAATTCCTCAAAATGCTGCCAGACAACTGAGGTTCTTTTTCTCTTCCTACCAGTGTCATCAAAGCTTGATTCACTTAGGTCCAATTCTTGATCAAGATTAATTGGTTCAATATCTTGGTTCTCGCTTTGAGTCTCCATCTTGGAACTAGTTGAAACAGTTGGATACAAGACTTTTTGGAGATCTAAAGATCTTCAAATAATTCATACGAAAAGAGTTCCTGCTGAAACAAATACAGATAATCAATTCACAAATTATATTTCAGACATGGAAGAAAATATCCAAAATATCGTCGATATATCGGCGATATTTTCGTTTTTTTGAGTTACCGATATTTTAATGAGTATCCAATGAGTTTTCGTCAAAATATCGATAATATCGCGATATTAGTCCAAAAATTCCTGAAAATTTTGAAAAGTCACAATTTTGAGCACAGAGGGGTTCGAACCCCTCCCACTTAACTCCTTAACACCTTAACCACTATACCACTTATGTTGTTGTGATAATATGCTACAATATTTATATATATTCTTTTGTTTTGAATTCTTTTTACAAGAAACAAATTTGCACATTTTCCAAATTTTTGTGGTATTATATTTTAAATTGTGTCAATTAATTACTTAGTCAATGGCATGTGGTTTTTAATTTTTCTATTTTTTATTTGGTCACTTACATGGTAGGGCTGGAAAAAATTCCGGAAAATCCCAAACCAAACCGAAAAAGTCTCAAACCCAAACCGAAAAATCCCAAACCAAAACCATCCTGAAGTTCGGGAATCCCATCTCGAAAAATACCGAAATTTTCGATATGGGATTGGTTTCCAAATCCCATTTGTTTGGTAATCCCGAAAAATACCGAAGTATTCGGTTTCCTATTGACTTTTGGGTTTTGGTTCTTGAAAACCATTGTCATGGTTGCTAACTACTCTTCAAAATACACTCACTCTACACATAGAGATGATGAAGATAGTGAAAATTTTGAACCTCATAGAAACTCTATGTGGTACTAAGTCACTCATGTATCTTACCATACAATGTATAAAGTGTAAAATATTGTACTAATTCATTATATATAAATGATTATGGTGTGTTTAGACTTCTTTAATTAATTTCTACATATTTTCTACACTCACAATGTTTGTCAGCTCGCTATATAATCAACTTGATAATGTTAAATCCATCATGCAATGCATTTTCTTCCAATTTTTTGTGATAAACTAATAGATAATTGACTAAATAAACATCCTGCAAAGTTTCAATAAAAATTTCCAAGTTTTTCTTACAATTTCCGTGGTTTCCATGTAATTTTTATCGATATCGATATTATCCCGATATTTCCATCGATATTTCCGTGTTTTCGGACTACCGATATTTCCGATATTACCGATATTTTCTTCCTTGATTTCAGATAATCAATATTATGCCTCCGTGAGGCTATGTCTGCAACCAAGGCCAATAAGCGATCTTACTTTTGACATACATGGCAGCATCCCGCCAATAATAAAGCCCAACTTTAAGCAGAAGTAATGCACAGTGCCATTATTATATTTGACAGACACAAATCCATACATTTTACAAGTAAAACATCTTTCATAACACATAACAAAAGATAAGTCATAAAAACAAACTCAGCTATTTCCAGCTGCTCAAAATTTTTAATTTATATCAAAGTTTTGGTTAGTTTTACTCCCAATTTCAAGGGCATTTCTTACAGAGAGTCAATGAGTTTGACTCGCAAACTCTCCAATTGACGAATTTATAGTAACATTACCAGTTCAAAGAGGTGAAGAAATGAAGAGAAGATCAATGATTGATATAAGAAATTTGATTCATCAAACTCAAAATAATGGAGAAAAAAGAACCTGATATAGAATGTGCATCCAATTGGCATCTCTTGGACCAGGAACATGTTTCAAAATCACTCCACATTTTTCACTAAATTATAAAAGAAGGAGAATTTCGTCCATGTGCGAAGACAAGAAGTGATGGAAGTGAAAAAAAAAAAAAAAAACATTCACCTGCTACAATTACAAGCAAGTTGTAGCTGCCAAATAATTGCCAGACTTGAACTTTCAGCTCTTATAACAGAGAGAAGCTGCAGCAGCAAACGAGGGAGAAGGGAGAGTTATTCTTTAGTTTCAAACTACCTTTGTTTTAGCTCTCTTTCCATGTCTTCGAAACAATTCGCGATGGGACGGAGTTTCGTGAAAATTCACTTTCTCTTCTGTTGGAATTGAAGAATAAACTGACCAGTAACGTTTGCTGCAATGAAAATGCAGAGTGGAAGTCAGAGTTCAATTCAGGTAGCTACCATTAAACACTTAAGAGATTTTTAGAGTCAATAAATATATGAACAAATGTGTGCTGCTTTAGGACTTTCAAACACTTAGGACTGCAAAAGCACTTATTTTTAGGAAGAAAACACCTGCGCAGTTGGTTTTATAGTAAGCCATAAATTGATGTAACATTCAAACACTTAAGAAATTTTTAGAGTTAATAAATGTATGACCAACTACGTGCTGCTTTAGGAGCTCCAAACACTACAGAACTGCGCATGCACTTGTGCTCCTTAGATAAATATATGATATAATCAATTCATTACAGGAGTCCTCAAGCGTCTTCAAGTAAGGATGATCTCGTAACAGACTGAACTAGTTTTATTCATATGCATGCGGATGTGCAAAATTTATGTGAGCACATAATTACTCTACTAAATTCAGTAATACATAACAAAGATACAAACTGGAGAAGCAAACATTTCCAAAATCAAGAACAATTCAAATTTTTAATAAAATCAAGAACAATGTCTAATCAAGACTAGATTTCACAAACCCTAAATTAATTCCAAAATTTACCTGATGTGGGTATGGCCGGATTCTGAGGTGAGGAGGTTGTCTGAGGTGAGGTCGAGGAGGGTGGTGAGGTTGTCTGAGCGAGGTCGCCCAGGTGTGATCGAGTCGAAGTCGAGAGGCGCAGAGAGAGAGCGATGGAGAGAGAGGCGCAGAGAGAGAGCGACGAAGAGAGAGAGCGAGCGACGAAGAGAGAGAGCGAGCGATGGAGAGAGAGAGCGGCGACGGAGAGAGAGAGGGACAGAGAGAGAGAGCGGGGACAGAGAGAGAGAGTGACGAAGTCAAGAGGCGGAGAGAGAGAGGGACAGAGAGAGAAAGTACGGAGGGTTTTAATTTTTTTTTAATTTTACATATATTAAATTAAATGGGTAAATGGATACCCGTTATAACCATGAATATTACCCATAAGCGATGGATACCCATTATAACCGTGGATAATACCCATAACCGTTCATTTAAATTTCATGGATAAACGGTTATACCCATAACCGTTTATTTGTCTAAACGGTTATCCATAATCATAACCGTCAACTTTAAATGGGCGGGTAACTGCGGTTACCTATACCCATGGGTATTTTGTCCATCCCTAATTGGAACACAAATCTGGACTAAAGCTACTTGGGTTTATCTTACCCCTTATCGTAATGAAAAGGCGAATTTTTGGACATGGATGGAGAATAATTTCGGGCCTAGAGACATGCCATGGTTCTGTGGATGAGATTTTAATGAGTTTTTGGGGGATTATGAGAAAAAAGGAGGTAGAGAGGTTTTCCATGGAAGACCATGGTATCTTCAAAATTTCATAAACAAGGCGGTATTGATTGATTTGGGGTTTAAAGGTCCTTGCTTCACTTGGCGGGGAACAAGGAATGGCGAGTTGGTGGATGAGAGACTTGACCATGGATTGGTGAATGAAAGATGGCAAGAATGTAGGCCAAACACCATTGTTACCCGTTGTATTGTAGTGGGGTCGGATCATTGCCCAGTTCTAGTTAATTGGGAACCTCTTGCGACCAAAGGAAGAAGTTTGTTCATGTTTGAGGCATTTTGGTCCAAGGAAGTAGAATGCAAAGATATTATCATGAATTGTTGGAAGTTAAATTGTGATGGTAGCTGTAATACCCTGAAAATTTAAACATATGAATTATATATTCATAATTATGAATATGTGAAGAAAATTGAAAATAAATCAATTTACGGTTACGAAAATAAAATTGGGAAAATAGTAAAGTTTTGTTTCCGGAAATTATTATAATCTATGTATTGTTGTTATTGAAATTTTATGTTATTTTTCAAGAAATTATATTAATTTGTTTGAGTTTAGTTTTAAATTAAACTGGTTACGAAGTTTGAAGTTTGGAATTTAATTATTTAAAATTTGTAGACCATTTGAGGTCACAATTTATATTTTTGAATAGAGCTCGATCTTACAAACACGTGGACGCAAACCGTTCATGAAACAGAATTATAACGAAAGAGTTATTAACGTTTGAAGTTAAGGATATTTTTGTAAATTTAATCTTTAATCTAGAAGGCTCTAATTTCTGGAGCAATCCTGTGGGGCTTCGTGGATGGCTGAGATGAAAAAGGGAGGAGAGAAAGGAGAGAAAGGAAGGAAAGGAGAGGGAGAGGGCCAATCAGAAAGAAGAGAAAGGAGGGGAAAGGAGAAAAGAAAAGGAAGGGAATCAGATCCCCTTTGAGTACCTGTGACCCGATCCGATTCCATCTCCCAACTCCGACCACCGTTGACGATGATGTTGGTGTCAAAATGACCCTTACCTCGAGGCAATTCGAGCCCTCTCGTATTTTTATTCGAAAATTTAATAAAATTTGATGGATTTTGAGAGGAAACTGTCCGAAGGGGCGTATGGGTTTGGCTTCGATTCACCATGATCTGAAGCTAACTCTGCCCATCACCACCACTCATAGTCTCCCCTCAACCTTAGGAACAAAGCCCGTGCATTGGTTGAGGCGTTGGAGTGGTTTTAGAGGCGAATCAAGAACACCCAAAATCAAGGGTTTCCAGCGGCTCGTGGCCAATTTGAAGTGTTTCCGGGCTAAATTGGACTTGGCCACATGTATAAAAGTTGTTCCCCTCACTGAGATCTACTTGCCTATAAAATTTGGTAATTTTTGGAAATAGTTGATATTTTCTGGCGTAGTTTAACAGTGTTAGATGCAGCCCTAAATAATCGAGACATAATCCTTGTTTGAGGAATTGAGCTAAGTAAGAAATTTGGTGAAAATGTTGAGATTTAACCTTATGTTTTGGTGGTTAAATGTTGGTCATAAATCAATGTGTGAGAAAGAAAGAAAATTGAAGTAGAGAATCGTAAGTAATGATAGTTAACTAAATAAGAGTTTAGTTGGGCCTATCACCAATAATTATTTCTGTTAATAAATATTTCGGGGGTGGGGTGTTATGGTAGTTGGCTGGAAAGATGGCAAAAAAGTTAAATGCTTGTTGGGGGCAGTTAAAGATATGGAGTAAAAGGAAGTTCAGAAGGAGAAGGGAAGAAATTGAAGCTTTAATTCGACAACTTGATGCACTACAGGAAAATTGGGAGGCAAACGTTGCACAAATTAATTCCCTTTATGTACAAATCGACATATTAAGGGAACAAGAGGAGAAGTTTTGGCAACAATGATCCAAAATTAAGTGGCTGCATGCATGAGATGCAAATACGTCTTTCTTCCACTAGTCAACATTACAAAGAAGAAGGCAAAATAGGATTGTGAAGATGAAAAATGATAATGGACAATGGGCTAAAAACCCAAAGCTGATTAAAAGTGCTTTGAAAATCACTTTAAATGTCTTTTTACCACTCAAGGGCCGAGAGATTGGGGTGCAATCCTTGAATGTGTTGAGCCATCTGCTACAACGGAGATGCGTACTTATCTTCTCGGTCAGATTTCGGATGAAGAAATAAAAGAGGCAGTTTATCAAATTGAGGGGGGGGTTTAAAGCGCCTGGGCCGGATGGATTTCAAGGAGTTTTTTTTTTTTTTATCAATCGTATTGGAAAATCATTAATGAAGAAGTCCGAGGAATGACAAAGGAGTTCGTGAACGGAACTTCAAGCCCCCAAAAGTGTTAATTCGACTCACATAGTTTTAGTTCCGAAAGTTTAAAATTCGGAGAGGGTGGATCAATTCAGGCCAATAAGCCTTTATTCATACAAAGTTATTTCTAAAGTTCTTGCAAACCGACTTAAGCCTTGGTTGCAGAAGATCATCTCCCCAATGCAAAATGCTTTTATCACTAGATGACAAATTCAAGATAATATTATTATTGCTTATGAAGTTTTCCATTTTCTTAAATTGAGGAAAACTAAAAGAAAATATGAATTGGGGATAAAGCTGGATATGAGCAAGGCATACGATCGGATAGAGTGGGACTTTTTGGAGGCTGTGATGGCAAGAATGGGTTTTCATAGAGATTGGATAAAATTGGTGATGAAGTGTATCAGATTAGTAAACTCCTCAGTAATAGTTAATGGGCAACCAAGCCAAAAATTTGAACCATCTCGGGGATTGAGGCAAAGGGATCCGCTGTCTCCGTATCTGTTCTTGATTGTTAGTGAAGTGTTATCTTCGTTGATTAAAAAAGCAATTGAAACAGATTACATCCAAGGAATCCGGATCAGTGCAAATGGACCATGCATATCACACTTGCTTTTCGCTGATGACACCTTCATTTTTTTTATAGGCAACTCAACAAAATTGCAGGAATTTTATACAATTGTTGAATGCATATTGTGCTGCATCAGGACAAAAGGTGAACTTACAAAAGTCCAGTGTTTATTTCAGTGCAAATACTCCGACTAATTTCAAAGATCGATTTTAAAATTCAGATATCAAAAAATTAACATCATGAATTAAATTAATGTGCGGTAGTTAATTTCAAAGATCGATTTTGAAATTCAGATATCAAAATAGTGAGTCATGTAAATTTAAAGACTATTTATATAATCCAAACCCCACTTATATACAATGATATTGATATGTAGTTTGTCGATTTACATTCCGAATACACTAAAAGATAAACTAGAACACACCTTTCAACTGAAAAATAAACTAAAACACGCCTTTCAACAACAGAAGTAAAAGCTGCCCACACTACACACCACCAACTCGTAGACTTATCTTAACGTTTAGCTAGTGCATCACTGTTTCAAACATTTTACACAAACGATTCAATCATACACAGAAAAAGGACATGTAAACAAAGCCAGTAGCAGCTTACTTCTCCGGATGGCCCCTTTTAGCCTTACGACGCGCATGGTTGGTACCTGGAACAGGTTTTTTAGCGTTTGTACTGCTTAACGATGCACAAGTCGCAATCAGCAAACAGAAATATGTTAGGATTACTTTTCGTTTAGAGAATGCGGTGTGCATGCATAAGCACGTATAAGTAACTAACCTGAAAAGTCAGGAGAAAGTTCTGAACCAGAATTATAATGAGCAGGGCCAACAAAGCCGAGGCCTGCAACATTTTAATTGCGACTAAATAAGGAGATCAAAAATAAAATTCAAAGAAAGAAAACAGAACAAATAAAAAAATGCAAGATTGGTTTCATTACACGCACCGCAAACCACTCCAACTCCTTTGTAGCATGAGGTCTTGTCGGTTCATGCCTCTTCAGCAAATCTTTTACTGTCCCTTGAACCTTGAAGAAATATATGGATTACAAAATTTAATAAACTACTATAGGTGGTTCGCTGAATGGCTTAGGCTACGGGTTCATCCACCAGGGCAAGAACATCGAAAGGAATAAAAAAAAGAAACCGTAATTCATTCACAATATGCAGTCACAGTCTTCAACAGCAAGTAACATATGAACTGTTGACTGTTCAATGCGGTCACTATAAGATAGCAGATCAAACATATATGTCATCTTATGTTACGATGAATTGATTGGTCAAAGCAGTTGATAATTATCGTCATCAAATGGAGAAGAATAAAAAATGGAAAACGAAGGAATAATAAACGAACTTGTAGCAATCAACCATTGAAATATTTCGTATCTGACGGTAGCATGCACTACTAGAATTTGAAGGACCTCGTCAGTAATTGAAGGACAACAATACTCAGTAAATTAAGCATAAACTTGTAAAAGAGAAAATTGTAGAAGTGAGGTATAAGGTTCTTCAAGTGACCATACAGCAATTAATTGTACCTTCTGAATCTAACCACCACACTACTTTGAATACCATATATAACATAAGGGAAATCCAATTTTTTTGCGCCTAATCCGTCTCTACAAAAAATTCAAAAAAAAAAAATATATATATATATAACATAAGGGAAAGATGTGTGAAACCATATGATATATAGAGACCAGTAAAAAGAAAAGCATATGTGCGGATTGAAAAAAAACAAGCAAACCAAGCTTTCGCATCACTTTCAGATTCCAACTGAACCATTGATGGATGAGTTATCTAAATTACTGAAGACGATTGTAAAAATGAACTTTAAAGAACCTTAATTCTAGGGTAAATTACATAGTAGTCCCTCAGGTTTGAGGTCTATTACAACCTCATACAACGTATTTAAAACATTTCACTTTCATACATCATGTACTATTTTATTTCAAAATAATACATTTCCATTCATTGATCCGTTAAGTGCTGATGTGGCTGCCACATGTGTGCCACGAGGCTGCCACATGTGTGCCACGAGGCTGCCAAATGTGTGCCACATGGCAAAAAAAATAATTTTTTATTTTTATTTTTTAAATCTGAATCTTCTAAATTAAAAAAAAAAAAAAAAAGAAGCCTAAAACCCATTCCTTCCCGCAGCCCGCCACCCCCATCCCAACCTACCCACGCCCACCTCCACCTCCCATACAATCCCCCACCCATTTCTCCCTCTTCTTCACTCTCTTCACCTCCCCTTCCTTCTATCTTCCTAGATCAACGCCGCCCTTTCCCCATCACCACCGCAGAGCTCTCTCTCCGATCCCTCTGCTCCTCATGGAGGTCCTTCGTCACCACCCGATCTCGCCGTCGACCGGGGATTTCTCATCGTCGCCCTGCTGCTCCTGCTCGTTGTCGTCTTCAACGATGAAGATGATGCGGGGGAGGATGATGTCCTTGCGGTTCGGGGGGGATATGGGTTTCGTGCCGGGGGTGGGGGTTGGTAATGGGATCTGGGTTGGGGGGGTGGTCGTATGGGGTATGGATCTGGGTTGTTCTCTGGTTTTTTTTTTTCCTTCAAAGGTGCAGGTATGGGGTGGGTGGGGTGATGGGGTAATAAAAAATTATTTTTTTGCCATGTGGCACATATTTGGCAACCACGTGGCACAAATATGGCAATCATGTCAGCACTTAACAGATCAATGGACGGAAAATCTAACGGATGTATTATTTTGAAAAAAAATGGTACATGATATATGAAAGTGAAATGCTTTAAAGACGTTGTATGAGGTTGTAATAGACCTCAAACCTGAGGGGCTACTATGTAATTTACCCTTAATTCTATGACAAGCTTAAACAACACCTTCAAATCCTATGTTCTTAAGAAACTCACTTGACGGATTTTTTCTGAATTTACAACTACCTCAAAAAGAATATAGACAAACATTGGGAGACAGTTAAAATGACAAAATTTAAAATTAAAAAAAAAAAAACTCACATTCTCTATTTTTGAAAGCAAATCATCGATCTTCTTCTCGGCTTCATTTACCCGGTCTTTCAAGTGCCCTTTCTCATTACGTTGCAATTCCTTTTCAAGTTCGTTAACCTGTATAAAATGAACCTTAATTCCATGACAAGATTAAACAAAACCTTCAAATTCTATGTTCTTAAGAAACTCACTTGATTGATTTTTCTAAATTTACAACTACCTCAGAAAGAATATAGACAAACATTGGAAGACAGTTAAAATGTGAGAGAGAGAATTCATGCAACTTAATACCTCATTTAACTCCTTTTCTTTTAGAGTAGCTTCAAACTTTGCCTTCCACATTTCCACCTAAAGACAAATTTAGAAACATAGACTGAGCATAAGCACCAACCCCCATCTAGAAAAATGTGCTTCCGCAGTGAGAGATAGAATTCATGCAACTTAATACCTCATTTAACTCATTTTCTTTTAGAGTAGCTTCAAACTTTGCCTTCCACATTTCCACCTGAAGACAAATTTAGAAACATAGACTGAGCATAAGCACCAACCCCCATCTAGAAAAATGCGCTTCCGCAGAGACTTAAAAATTACCAGTGCAAAACAATGTTTTGTTCTTATAATTAAAATCACAAAGGACTTTCACTATGAGCACATTCAGATACAAAATAACTTTTCTTCCAAATGAGAAAAAATAACTCACTTTTTTCTCTATTTTTGAAAGCAAATCATCGATCTTCTCAATTTTACTCTGCAACGAAGAAATGCTATCCGACTTCTGTTGAATTACTTCATCCTCCTCTTTTATAAGCTCAATGATCTTTTTTAGTTGGAGTTCCATCGAAGAAATTTTATCCAAGTTGTGTACCTTCTCCTCTTTTACAGGCTCATTGTTCTTTTTTATTTCGTATTTTTCTACGGTAAAGAAACACAAACCGTCAGCCAGGAAAACCCAAAACAGCACGAACAAAACATTTAAAAATGCTCGAAATTGACATTCGACTAATATCCATGTTGTTTCTACTCCCAAAGTAACTAAACAATTCAGCATCTTTATTGGTCTGATTAAAATTATGAAAAAAGAAAAATCAAAGCTGTACAAGTAAGCATCAGACCTCAGCTAATTGGCAGTATTATTAGATTCCAAAACATGAACACAAAATTATAAATGGAAAGCATCACAAACACTACCCAATTGAAAAACCAAAGGATCTCCAACTTCAGTAACATCTATTTGGATGGCGAGAAAACTGAGGGAAAAATATTATGAACTCAAAATGAATAATGTTAGGGAGATCAAATTTACAAACAAAATGATAAGTCATAAATAGAAAAAGAGCATGTTAATCAACACTTGTGTAATAATTTAATTATTAACATCCACATCATTTGGTTTAGAAATTTAGTCTCTCTAGCATTACCCACTCAAATTAGGACTGCTTTGTGATTGCCTTAATCACCAATTAGAGAGTTAATTGAAGGTTTTGTTCTTTAGTTTTATTGTTAAGGATTGTTAAACATGCCAGCTGGCATTAAAAAGTATAGTGACTGTATAAAAGGAGGCCAGCTCCCAGACATCTAACACATTAGTTTACATAAGAAATCAAATACCAACAGTATTGCTCCTCTCTTCCTTCCTTCCCTCTTCTTCCATTGCAGTAGTTAAGGTTGAGATTTGGGTCCTAACAAATTAAATATCAAATCGATGAAAAATCACAAATTTCATCGAATAAACCCTAGAATTCGCAGAAGACGATAGAAACGAACAGTGGATCTTATACATGAGCTTACGAAAAAAGCCCCCGAGTGCTCTCGCGTTTCTCCGCCGGGACTGGAGAGTCTCGCTCGTTTTCCTCCCATGAGATTCCAGTTTCAGCCCGAATCTGGGAGAAAATAAGGGCAAGAAAGATTGAGAGAATCGCGAGCTTGGAGGGCGCCATGGGAGCATGCCATCACAGCCAACGAAACTCTCACAGCGACAGTTTTTTTTTTTTCTTTTTTTTTGAGTTGGAGTTCGATTTCTTCGTTTGGTACCAAAAAATTCTATTATTACCTCAAGGAAAATGGGTACATAACTGTCAACTAATCAAGCATTTATGATACCAACAATTATTATTATTTATTATTACTAAAATTTCAAAATATTAAATTAATAGGAAAACTAATGAAAAGAGTTTGAAAACTTTGAGTTTTAATGATAAGGACAAAATAAAGAGTAAAGTGAATAGTACCAGATTTGACTTTTTAGTTTAAAAATGTGATTTTTCATTAAAGTGAACAGTACCATGGGATTTTCGTTAAAACTCCCTAAATTAATTGGTTAGGATTAATTGTTGCTTTGAATAAATAAAGGAAAAATATTTTATTATTAGCAAAAACAGGAAAAATATTTTATTCTAATTGAAAACAAAAATATATCATGCAATTTAAAAAAGCCCAATTGGCATATGTGTAGGCGTGTTGAAAGAGATATGTAATATCAACTTTTATATAAGTAAAAATTCGTTGGGTTGTTTGATTTTGAATTATTTTTTGGTGGAAATTTTGAATTTATTTCAATTACAAAAACATTATCATATATAAACAAACTATAGGGTCATAATTATTAAAAAAAAAAATTATATTAACCCAAATTTCTTTTAATATAAAGGCAAATAGATGATATAAATTTCTCCATGAAAGGACAACATATAACAAAAAAAAAAATCCTTTGTTGAGATCATGCTTGAAAGTTGAAACAACAAAAAAAATATTATAAAAGTATCACCACCAATGTCTAAAAAAGCGTAATTTAAGTGTTTTTTACTGCAAAAAATCGAGGTAGAAGATAAGATTTTGGTTGCAAGACCTTTATTAAACTTGTTGATTCGTGCATACAATTTTTTTACTGGTCGGCACATACTTACAAAAACGTAGTGCCAGTGACTAATAAAAAGAACCAAGTTTCTAAGAAAGATATTAGCCACATTTGCATTTAATTTGGAATGGATAAACTTTTTAGGTCATCCTTTAGCCAAATTAAAGGACGAATATTATATTTAACGAGTGAAATTCGAAAGGAATTCTCTGTTCATGGCATGCTTGAACGAGCAATAGAATATTATCGAAAATTGCATCATTGGTTTTCGAAAGAACGCATTGAAGTATTCTTTTCTTGCAAAAAGTAGAGGTAGAAGATAAGATTTTTGTTGAAAGACCTTCAATAAACTCAGTGAGTCGTACTTACATTTTTTGGCCATTTGACATATCCTGACAAAAAAAAACAAGGAACTTTAACGAAAAGTTTCTGTTACTGTTTATTTTAACGAAAAATTATATTTTTACACTAAAAAGTCAATTCTAGTACTATTCACTTTACCTTTTATTTTGTCTTCGTTAAAACTCTTTTCAAGTCATTTTTATTAATTTTCCTAAAAAAATACTGGTGATTAATAAAGCGAACTAAGTTTTCCAGAAATATGTTGGAGACCTTCGCATTAGATTTGGAATGATAAAATCTTTTGGGTCATCCCTTGACAAAGTTAGAGGACGACTATTTCTTTTTTGATTAATTGTATAACATTCTTCTTTCTCAGGTAGTTTTGTTTGATAAGTACCCACCTGCTATCTTTATATCGGACAAGGATTGTCTACCCTTCACTTTCGGTGCCCTTTTCGTGCCCTCCTGTTTATGTAGTCACGGTTAAGCCATGTCAATATTTTATATTACTATTTATTTTTGTCTTATTATATCTATAAAAAAATAATATAAAATGTTAACGTGGCTTAACCGTGACCACACAAAACAGAAGGGCACGAGAAGGGCATCGGAAGTGGAGGCAGACAATCCTTGTCCCTTTATATCAGTTAACATTCCCCTTTTATTTTATTTTTATATTTATAAACTTTTATATTTTATAAATTTTGCTAGACTTCAAATACTTTCAAAAATGGAGCATTTTTGCACACCACCATTTAGTGTAGTATATGTACATCACTCTATTTATCATCATTAGATGAGTTTGAATTTCGAAATTCGTATAGTAGATAGACACAAATCTCAAAATTCAAACTCGTCTAATGATAATAAGTAAGGTGATGAGCATACACCATACTAAATGATGATGAGCAAAAATGCACTCCTTTCAAAAATTAGTTATTTTTTGTGTAATGCACATGACACCATATTATTGGACATGTGTGCCACGTCAACATATTTGAACTAATTTTTACAACATGAACCAGGTGCATTTTTGCTTACCCACATTAAATTTAGGGTATGCTCATCATATACTTTATTAAGTGCCATGTGTCCATCCTTCTAACCTTAGTTACTTGTTAATTAAATATAGCATTTTCAAATTTTAAAACTAATTTTAAACATTAAAATTAAAAATTAAAAATTAAAAATTAAAAATTAAAAATTAAAAATTAAAAATTAAAAATTAAAAATTAAAAATTAAAAATTAAAAATTAAAACTCAAACCCTTCAAGTTCCCTACCCAGCCAAACCCCAGAAACAACTACCCACCCATGCCACCCCTTCAATTGATTCTTCAAAGTCTACCCCCACCCAACCAATCTTCTTCGTGCCACGGTGAATCACCATGTCTCTGTTCTCGTTCTTATACTGTAACTCTAATTTTATTTTAGTTTATAAAGAAACCCAACAAATGTCCTCGCCAAGAAAATAATCCCAAATTGAAAAATCAAATTTGTACGTGCACAGAAATATCCTCGCAAGAAAGAGAAATGGCTGATTGTTTAGGTGAGGTTAGTATCGAATTTCATGGCTGCAAAGGCGCAACCTTCGTGGTGGTCTCCAGTTGTTGTTATCAATGGTATCATCCTTCTCGAATCTTGGTTTCCCTCCTGTGGACGCCCACCCGACCCGTCTTCCTGCCATGGATGCACACCTCTCCGCTGCAATTGACTCATTTGAAGCTTCGATGCGTGCTGCACTCCATGATGCAATCCGCGAAGCTTTGGATTCTGCATTCGTAAATTTCACGACGAATTTCAGGCGTGATTGGGCCTTGCTCCGCCGCGACTCAGCTCTCAGAGCGGAGAGAGTTTCTGATCCAGTCCCGACGACTTCTGATGACACGCAATCAATCGATCTCGGTCATCCCGGATTTCAAGGATACGATAATCTGTCTAGACTTCCATCTCCAATCGAAGTCCATTCCGTTCCGTCATTGTTTTCGTCATCACCATTGTTGCAAGAAATCGCAGCTTCGTCCGTCAAGCCACAGTTGAACTCGAACGTTTCAATGGCAGCCCACACCAACAATAGCACACCATTTTCGAGCAACCAGGAAGCTCCAACAAGTGTGCAGGGTTTTGGGATCCACGACGGGGAAGGCAGCCCACAGCGAATTCAGTGTCCGCAACGAATCGAATTTCCTCGATTCTCTATCAACGATGATCCATTCTCCTGGATCTCCAAAGCGGAGCAATTTTTTACCCACTTTAGCACTCCCGCGTCCTAGAAGATCGAAATTGCCTCAGCTCATCTAAACAACGAAGTTTTGCAGCGGTGGTGTTGGCGCAATTGCATTCACTATGCATTGCGTTGGGAAGAATTTACAAGAGCTTTCTGTCGAGATTTTGGCCCCTCCAAAATTGAAAACAGTGATGAAGCTTTGTTTCAGTTACCCCAAACTGGGGATATTCTTGCAGCTACAACGGATGGTTCGGTGCCTGGGGCAGTTCATTCCTGCAAACCACACTCGATCACCCAAGTCCATTATGTTCCACCGTTGCTCTCTTCTTCACCATTGTGGCCAGCAATGGCAATTCATCATGTCAAGGCACATTTGAACGATACGTTGGCATCGACAATTCACACCAGTGTGCAGGGTTTTGTGTCTCCTCTGAGGAACACAGGAACCACCAAAATTGCAGTCCCTTTTCTACTTGCAGACCAAAACGTCAGTGACTCCATCAGCCTTGAGGAGTATGGAGATTACTGGAGCTTCAACCCACAGACTATATGTCTCTATATGCTGCCTTTAACGCATACAAACACCACGAAACGTCGACACGAGGTATTGACATCCTTGCTTTCCAATTTTACAAATCGGAATGACAAATGGTATTGGGTTTTGCAGCTTATTCTGGCATATTATACTAGTGTTATTGTGATAATGTATGAAGACTTCTTAACTGATAAATGTGGATGGGGTAATTGGTACCTTGTGGGAAAATTTGTGAAGAAGAATTTTTGTGCACTGCACCTGTTTGATTGTCTGTCTAAGAGAGGGAGTGCAAATGTACATGTGCTTTATGTGGCCTCTTTAGATATGCATGATTTAGAAGCTAGCCCTAAACTGGATGGTAGTAGCAGCAAGCCAAGGGTTAAAGAAGTGTCTTCTGAAGAAAAAGATAATGTGTCTCACATTGAGATTAAGATTACTGAATACCATGGCTTCGATGAAAAATGTGTTGTGAGGTATCTTAATCTTTCAGACAACGCCATGGGCAACTATGGTGTCAATGCATTTGAGTCACTTCTTAGTTCACAAAAAAATTTGAGAGAACTTTATTTGATGAATATGGCAAGGCTCAATATGTGTCATAACACGAGGGAGTGGCACTGCGATGCTATTAGGAAGATCAAATGGCCGAATGAGAATGAGATTTCTGTTATGATCAATATCGAAGGACAAGCAAACTATGAAGGTTTTTCTGATTGTATCAAATATGGTGAAGAGCTCACTTTTAAGCTGTTGCTCTATTTCCAAGCTGTCAAGGCAAAAAGTCTTAGGTTTACTAAACTTGGGTCACCAGAAGAGGCTAAGAAGGCTGTTGGGAACATGAATGATGTTACTGCTAGTGCCAAACAGCTAAAGGAGATGGAGATAGTTTTGGGGAATGGGCGATTGTCTGATCTTATTGCACAGCTGCAGGATATATTAGAGGGTGTAAATGAAGCTGATATCTTGTCGGAGAAGTTTGATAATGCAGTTATTAAAGCCCAGATTCCACAATTGGCTCGAGAAATCAGGGAGTTAACCTTATCTCGACATGTAACCATCTACAATGAGAATTCTTCCTCTAGTGGGAATTATGCTTCATATTTAGTTCCACTTGCTGCACTTGCTGCAATGGGCTATTGTTACATGTGGTGGAGAGATTGGTCATTCTCATATGTGATGTATGTGACAAGGCATAATATGGCAAATGTTGTTGAAGCTCTAATTAGAGAGGTAGCTAGTAAGAGCAATGACTTTGCTGGGAACGAAACAACAAATACATTGAAGATGAGTGAATGCGCTATGGACACCTATTTGGATTTAGTATGCTCTCTTAGTCACCTGGAAAGCAATTTTGGTGGTGCCTTAGTTATTGATTTACATGTTTAGTTCTCTCTGTTTTTCACTTGTAACCCTGATTGTCGGCTTTTATGGGATCCAGGAGATGCAATGGCTAAAAATGTTAAGATGATACTCTATTTTAAAAATGTCAAGGCAGAGTGGCTTAACAGGGTTACAAAAAGAACCAAGTTTGGTAGTTTTATGGTACAATTGGATAGAAGTGTTGAAGCTTTGAATAAGGGCAAAAAGCAAAAAACTAAAGATGGTGGATACAGTGATGAGATGAAGAGTTTGCATGATTTGAGCCTGAACAAGGCTGTGGATATGGCGACTAGGTTCGAAAGTGCATTGGTAGGACATGTTAACAATATAATTTGTAGTACTACTGTAAGATTGGAGAGACTTCACTCAGATGATTGGTGGTGTTCTGCTATATCTCAGTTGCTGATGATTGGTAAATCCATCCTATCTAGTTCAAACAAAACTCAGGAAGCAAATGTGGATGTTGTTTTGGGAGTCAGTGATCTGAGTCTACTAGTTGAGAACACTTCAGTTGAGCAGCTTGGTTTCTTCAGCAAGGTGACAATCTTTAAGGACTCCATTTCCATTATTGGTGATGCAGCATCAAAAGATGGGTTGCAAGTTCATGGTGTGTCTCCATTTGACATTATGGGCAAAAATCTTTTCTGGGAAAAGCAACTGCAAAGGCTGCAAATGGGAGCTGTCACAAGAAAGTTCATGGTGGTTAATTTCAGTTCTGGTTTTGATGAATCTTCATATCTCTCTCGGGTTGAAAATTTTGAGGAGGTGTCACAAGAAAATTATGGAGAGGCTACAAGAAACAAGAACTCACTCACTCAGTTCAAGCGAGCTGCCATGCCTGGAAGGATTATAATGATTTCAAAGTCAAGTTCTACAATTCCATTTTTAAGCCTTGAGGACAAGGCTAATTTTCAAGGGGGAAGTATTGTTATGATCCAAATTATTACTGAGGTTTTATGCTTTATTACTGTGAGGAATTGTTAATATGCCAGCTGGCATTTAAAAGTGTAGATGATGTATAAAAGGAGCCCAGCTCCCTCAAATGGATGAGATCAAAATTTTACAAAAGAAATCAATACAAAAAAATATTGGAGCTCTGTTCCTTCTTCTCTCCTTCCCTCTTCTTCCATAGCTTTCTTGTGCCACTTGCAGGTTGATTAAAGGAATTGAGAATTAGATCTTATCGGAAAAAGGAGGGAGGGCGGAGAACGAAGTCATGGTAAATTCGCCATGCACCCGAAGAAGAAGATTGGCTGGGTGGGTGGGTGGAACTTTGAAGAATCAATTGAATGGTTGGCGTGGGTGGGGAACGAAACACTGCTGGGCAGGGTTTAAGTTATTTATTTATTTTTAAGTTTAATGTTTAAAATTAGTTTTAAATTTTGAAAATGATATATTTAATTAACAAGTAACTAGAGTTAGAAGAAGGGACACATGACAGCTAATAAGTTGTACTATGAGTATACATCAAAGTTATTGTGGTGAACAAAACCAATTGAAAATGCTACGTGGTTAAATTCAACATTAACGAAACACAAACCGTCACGCAAGAAAACCCAAACAGCACTAAAAACACTTGAAAATGCTCGAAATTGAAATTTATCTAATATCGATATTGTTTCTACTCACAAAGTAACTAAATAAACACTTACGCATCTTTATTGCCCTGATTAAAATTATAGAAAGTGAAAAGTCAAAGCTTTTTGGGAGCAGCCTCTCCATAAATGGGGGTAAGGCTAGCCGACATTCACCTCTCCCAGACCCTGCGTAAAGCGGGAGCCTTGTGCACTGGGTACGACCTTTGAAAAGTCAAAGCTTTACAAGTAAGCATCAGAGCTCAGCTAATTGCAGTATTACTTAGATTCCAAAACAGAAACACAAAATTATAAATGGAAAGAATTACAAACACTTCCCAATTGAAAAACCAAAGGATCTCTAACTTTAGTACATCTGTTTGGATGGCGAGAAAACTGAGGGAAAAATTCGAATCGACAAACACTTGAAAAATCACAAATTTCACCCAATAAACCCTAGGATTCGCAGAAGACGAAAGAAATGAACCTGGGGAGGGCGCCCTATCCGAAGTGAACGAGTCGGGCAATACGGCTGACCCTGATCCAAGTCCTGGAGCTTGAGCCCGAATCTGGGAGAAAATTAGGGCAAGAAAAATCGAGGGAATGGCGAGCTTGGAGGGCGCCATGGGCGCACGCAGTCACGGCCAACGAAACTCTCACAGCGACAGTTTTTCGAGTTTTTTTTTTTTTTCTGAGTTCGAGTTCGATTTCTTCGGATTACAAATCGTTTTGGTACCAATCTTTTATTGCCTTTAACGAAAATGGATGTACAACTGTCAACTAATAAAGCATTTATGATACCAACAAATTTTTTTTTATAGAAAAAATCAAAATATTAAATCAATTAGTTAGGATTAAAACAGTAATTTAAAAGAGTAATGTTAGGAAAATTAAATTTGCAAACTAAATAATGCGTTATCAAAAGGAATAAGCATGTTTATTAATTTTTAAGTAATAAATCAATCAATAAGATTCATGTCTTTTAGTTTTCAAAACTTTATCTACAAATTTAATTTTCCTAACATTACTGTGAACACGGAAAATTCCTGAAACGAAAGAGACAAGAACAACGTGCACAAACAAATATTTGTATTTGATGATTTTGGGTTACAATCTCTCTCTATTTTGATCCTCTGATTCGATCTCCGTAAGGTGTGTATTTGTGGATGTGCGATTGATCCAAAAGGGCCGTTGGGCTTGATCTAAGGATGAATGTTCTTCAAGGGCCGTGGACTTGATCTTGAAGGTGGATTTGAGCGGATCTTCAAAGGGGCTTTTGGGCTTGATCTTTGAAGAACAGTGATGAACGGGTCTCCAAGGGCTTTTGGGCTTGATCTTGAAGAACAGTGATGAACGGATCTTCAAGGGCTTTTGGCTTGCTCTTGAAGAACGGTTTGGATGTGTGGATTTGTCGACGTTGTTGATCCAAAGGGCCGTTGGGGCTTGATCTTGGATGAACGGATGATGAACGATGGTGCTTTCTTCAAGGGCCGTCGGGGCTTGATCTTGAATTGGTGGATGATTGTTGATCCAAAGGGCCGTTGGAGCTTGATCTTGGAAGAACGATGAACGAAGAACGAAGAACGCTTTCTTCAAGGGCCGTCGGGGCTTGATCTTGAAGGTGGATGATTGTTGATCCAAGGGCCGTCGAGGCTTGATCTTGGAAGAACGATGAACGAAGAACGAAGAACACTTTCTTGATTCTTCGGGAACCTGGATGCTTGAGAGCTTCGGAGTTTCAGAGCTTCAGAGCTTCAAGGTGTAATATGAATTGGTTCCCCTAAATGAATGAAATGGGCTTGTATTTATAGAATTTTCCAAGGCCTAATTTTGAATATAATATTCCAGATGAAATAAGTCGTTTCTGCCAGGTGTTGACACGTGTCATATTTGATGACTTTTCCAACTCATTTCAATTTTTGTTGAGTCACACGTCACGTGTAAAATTTATGTAATACATGAGCGTTGACACTTTAATTTATCGGTCAACATTTATTTACCGAAATTTCGATGTCTACAATTACCCAATTCCAAAACACCTGACTTAATGGATAATACTTTCACTTGTTGCTTTGAACAAAAAATAGAAAAATATTAATTTAAAACAAAAGTACGTAAAGTAAGCTAATTGGCATATGTGTAGGCGAGTTTGAAAGAGATATGTAACATTCATTTTTATACAAGTAAAAAATGGGTTGTTAGATTTTGAATTATTTTTTTGGTGAAAATTTTGAATTTAATTTTATTACAAAAATATTGTCAGATATAAACAACGGGTGCACTTTTTAACACCAAAACAATTATGGTGTATGTTCATCATCTACCACGTGGCCTTTCATCTAACCTTGTTAATTTTTTCAAAATTGAAAAAGCAACAAATTAATCAGAGTTTAATAAAATGACATGCATGAGATGATTATTAAAAAAATTATTTATATTAACCTAAATTTCCTTTAATATAAAGGGAAATAGATGATATAAATTCCTCCATGAAAAGACAACATATATGACTTTCATTTTTCTCAAATTTGAAGATAAACGTGATATTGAATGCGAAAAACAAAAAAAAAACATCCTTAGTTTATGTCATGATTGAAACAACAAAAGACTCGTGAAAAATATCATCGTCAGTTTTTGAAAGAGCATAACTGAGGTGTTTTTTTGCTGCAAAAAGTCGAGGTAAAAGATAGGATTTTTGTTGCAAGACCTTCATTAAACTAGTTGATTCACAAATACAATTTTTTGATTATTTGGCACATGCAAACAAAAAGGTGGTGCTGGTGAATTATAAAGAGAACCAAGTTTCTCAGAAACATTTGCATTTAATTTGGAAAGATAAACCTTTTAGGTCATCCTTTAGCCAAATTAGGTGATGACTATTATATTAAACGAGTTGAGTTAAAAAAGAATTATATGTTGATAGCATGCTTGCAACAGCAATAAAATATCATAAAAATTCCATTATTTGTTTTTGCAAGAGCGTGAATTTAAGTATTTTTTGTTGCAAAAAGTCGAGGTAAAAGATAAAATTTTTGTTACAAGATCTTCAATAAACTTGTTGAGTCGTACAATTTTTTTTTTTGACCGTTAAACAGATACTAACAAAAAGACAGTGGTAGTAATGAAGCAAACCAGGTTTTTCCAAAAAGATGTTAGCAACCTTTGCTCTATATTTAGAAAGATAAACTTTTTAGGTCATCCCTGACAAAGTTAGAGAATAGTTATTATATTCAACAAGGGGAATTCAAAATAAAATCCTTGGTTGATGACATGCTTAAAAAGGGCAATAAAATATCATTGAAAATCTCACTGACATTTTTTTTATTTTTTTATTTTTTTTTATGATTCCAAGGTATCCCCGCACGTAGGCGAAGACTAATCTCTCGAGCCGAGTCGGACCCTATTCGAGGGGCAAACTCTTTCAATGCTAACTTCTTTATTCACTGTCAGTTTTTTAAAGAGTGTATATTGAAATGTTTTTTTGCTTGAAAAAGTCGGGGTAGATGATTCAAAAAGGAATCATCTAAGACTAGTATCATTAAAGTGCCATGGAATCTGTCACATCTCCCCCCCGAATATTTACTTTCCGGAATTAAATTGGTGGATAGGCCCAAAATAAACTTTGTTTTATTCAGCAAATGTTAAATCACGATTCTTTATTTCCTTCTAAAAAATATATATAAACACATCCTAATTGCCAAGGCAGTGCATAGGTTCTCTTCTAAACCTAAAATTTCTTCTACTAACTCAACTTCTTAAAATAAATAAATTCTTGATGAACAAACTATGAATTACTCACAAAATCTATAACACATCTCATTTTATGAGAGCATAAGGATTATTTGTTGTAAATAAATCTCCCAATTACTCTTCTTGGACCAATTCCAATGTATGATTATTCTCGGTCATTTAACTATCACCAGTCGAAATTCTTTAATTATAGGCCTTACTTCCTTCCATGGTCTATAATTCATAATTTCCTTACCAAATGTACTACTTATATTTTCACTTTGTCACTTCCTCCCTTTTTATAGATAGATTCCCATTCAAAACAAATTTATTCTCTAAGTGGTTAAGGCTGCATCTAACACTGTTAGACTGCCTACGTACCTTTAAGCAGGATCAAGCCTTTCGTAGTTCACACTTCCAAAGTTCAAACCAAATCCGAATATATTCATTTAATCCAACATATACTACAATCATATTAATATTCAAACCACAACAATTAGGTCTCAAAAACATAATTAGAATAACGAAGTTCGCATAAAAACACAATGTCGGCTCCCTGGCAGTGCGCCGCCACACCAGCCACCACGGGTGGCGGTCGGCCGTCCCGACTCGTCGAAAAATTCAACTATTTCTAAAAATTCTAAAAAATTACAGAAATGAAGATCTCAATGAGTAGAGAAACTTTCATACCTGTGACCAAGGCCAATTTGGCCGGGAAACACCTCAAAATGGCCACAAACCGTCGGAAACCCTTGTTTTTGGATGTTCTTGATTCGTCTCCAAAACAACTCCGACGCCCCAACCAATGAATGAGCTTTGTTCCAAACCTCAAGGGGAGTCTAATGGTGGTATTAATTTGATGGAATCATTTTAGAATTGGGGGAAATGAAGGCACGGGTTCATCGCACCCACCGGTGCAATTTTCCCAAATTCAAGGCCAAATTTCATGATTTTGGGTGTGTAATAGGAAGAGGGAAGGTCATGGAGGGTTTTACAATAGTTGGGTTGGTGAATTTCGCCATAAAAATGGTGAAATTTCGTCAGAAAACCAAGAAAAAACCTGATTGGGTCGAGTCACCCTTACACAGGTCGTGGATCCTCCGCTCCCCCATTCTCTCCTTTCCTCTCCCTGTTCTCTCTCCCCACTGGTCACCTCCCCCCAATTCCTTCCTCCCTTTCCTCCTTTCTATTCTTTTCTTTTAATCACAACCATCCATCAGTTATTTTTCTCTTTAATCACAGCCATACACGTGGCACAACTCATGGCTCCAGATTTCTGGAGTCTTCTAAATGAGTTTAAAATTACCAAAATATCTTTGACTTTAAACGTTAATAACTTCTTTGTTAGAACTCTGTTTCACGAACGGTTTATGTCTACGCGTTTGTGAGATCGAGCTCTATTCAAAATTATAAATTGTGATCTCGAAAAGTCTACGGATTTTAAATAATTAATGTCCAAACTTTAAACCTCGTAACTAGTTTAATTTAAAACCAAACTCAAATAACTTAATATAAATTCTCAAAAACTAAAGATAAAATCTCAATCATGAAAATACTTAAATTTTAATAATTTCCGAAGACCAAAACTTAAAACTTCTCAATTAATTTCTCCATAACCATAAATCGATTCATTTCCGCTTTTCTCCACATTTCATAATTATGAATATATATAATTCATATATTTAAAATTTCAGGGTATTACAGAATCATTACTTTTTTTTTATTATTTGTAAACAAAATTCATTTGTCTTGGGCACTTTTGTTTGATATTTTATGCGGGTTAATTACACTAACACCCTTTGAATCATTACTTTTGCCATGGAATCATTACTTTTGTTTAATATTTTATCGAGTTTTCATAAAATTTCCTCACATTTGAGATATTACACTAACACCCCCTCACATTTTGATTCACTTTCACCACATAACCCCTTCAGTCAAAATTTTGCTAATAAATGGACACTTTTGTATGTAACATCCAACATTGACCAATAGAGAAGGGTTGATG